TCTCCCACAGAAACAAATCGTGGAGCACTATTGAATTCAACGAGATTGTTGTCGGAGATTTTAAATTTGAGTTCACATTGTTGACCTAAACGATACAAAAGCATATTAAGACCTCGGTGTTCCACTCATAACGGATATTAGGAATCCATCAAGTTTCCTCAAACAAACACTGACATGAGTTCAATGAAATCCTATCAATGAGACTACTATACTGTCTATTTTGCAGAATTAACTGTAAACGGAAAGAAAGATGCATCAACGAAGGCTATCACTAAAAGATGGAGTCAGAAAATATAAACAAGATCTCGCAGAGAAAATTAGTTATATACTTGTTACAATCATCAAAGAATATATAGAGAAAAATGGTATTCCTAATCTTTACCTTGTGGAATAGGAAGAATATTCATTAAAGGAGTAAGTACATACCGGATGGCTTTGGTATTTTAAAACAAACTACTAATATACCAATGGCCATAGCTATTATTGTACATAGAGAAAATGCAAATGCACGATTGTTTAATAAATTCCATATGAGCGTGCAATAGTATTTCCCACTAAAGAACAATGGAGAAATGATATTCGCTGTTTAAAAAAACAACATACAGGGTTCGCGGTTCCACATAAGTTTTAGTACTGCTCATGGTATTATTCACCTCTTTTTGCATTTTTTTCATATTTGAAATTGAGTTATTGTTCTCGACTTCTGTCTTCGTGGAATGTAGAGCATGGATCGAATGAGTATTTCCATCTCGAGAAATCATCTCAATCTATAGGCAAATAAAAGTATTAAAGAAGACTAATGCATACCAAGCATGGATATAAAACCATGTGTGTACCAATTGAAAATCAGATAGAATGTCATGTTTCATTTATTTAGTGCATATAAATTACAATGATGCAATTTACGTTAAACCTTTCAATTATCTCTGTATACTTTATCCTGTTTTCTACATGATGATTGTATAATAATTTCACCTGCTTTTTGTTTATCATAGATTCAGTGTCAGTCATGATCAAATCTTTCCAGCTCGAGTGCTTTGTTTCAATACATAAACGGTTCTAACGGAATGTTTGTAGTTTTTCTTACATTTCTTAATTTACTGCATTCAAATTATTTTATCAAATAGAGAATTCAATATAGCAACAATGTAAGCGTTACATACCTCTTCCACATTGTACTTCATCCTTTGTTAATGTGTTCGTATACTCTTATAAAGTCAAGGAGTCTGTCGCACCAGTTTGTTTTTACCAAGTCTAAAATGTTACTGTTAGGTATAGAAGCAATGACTAAAGAGAGAAAAAGTTGACTTCAACATAGAATTAACTATTGATACATGGAAATTTATTGTCGCTTTTTTTCTGGTCTCGATACATAATGACACACACGCACATATATATAAATATTTCATTGTGCTCTCATCATTCAACAGAATAATATCGCATGTTCATAGGAACAAAATATTAACATAAAAAATATTTTCTCCACGTTTTGACTGGATCTAACGCTTGAATTATAAGAAATTTCAGGTATTTATCTCATGGAATACTTAGTTTTCATTTTCTGACATCAGAGACTATACTTGGCTCTTCCAGTCCTATGTTAGAAGATGCCTTGAGTTTACCTGATCTGTCTTAAAGGGGTGCACCAGGGATGTAACACTTTCAGTACGCTATTGTAGCAGTGATATTGTTTCGCTTTCGAGAACCGGAGAAAACGTTTTGAGGTCGTGTTTTTCTCTATTGCTGTATATGTGGAGCCTGTTGTTATCTATAGAAGACTTAAATTCGGAGGAGGAATAATAGCATATTTTGAGTGATGACTTTCGGCATATCCTAAGAACTGAAGACACTGACGTTCCGGATGGATTGTAGAACATCCATAGATAGTCCGAAACCACTCAAACAACATTATGTTTCATGTGTATGGTAGTGAGAAAAGGTACAATTCAAAAACGGTCTCCTCATTCTTTGCTCTGTCAATGCAACGATGTCAGTATTTCCATACTGATAACGAACAGCTCAACGCTTAGTTTCTTGAGCTATTACAAATGAAAAGAACGAAATCAAATAGCGAGTTGGCTGTTTATAATAATGCAAATAATGTTTCTAATTTACCTTAAAATGCGTGCGAATGTGAAAGTAATTGCCAAAAAAAGTAAATACAAAAATCAACTAAAACGAATATGAAATAGAAATATACCTACCATCGTTCTATATAACTGTGATCATTGATGCATAAATGTCCTTATTTTTGCATTAATGAGAAAGTCAAATGAGTGAGAAAGAAAAACCTATACATCATATTTTCGTTCTGGTCCCACCTTGAATAAATTAAGCATTTAGTTCATATTATAAAAATGTATCTTTAAATGGAAATAAAGTAGTAGTTGATCTACTTATCATAAAGACTTCTGGCTTTGCCCATTGCTCTCAATTTTTATTCTATCGATGGCTGTATTCCATTGATAGAATCATCATCATCATTAGCGTTGTAGTCATGGTTAACGATCTGACTTATTAATACATCCACATAAACAATTGCTTTATTAAACAGGTGCCTATTTTCCTCTCCTGTTTGTATATCATCCACTTCTTTCTCTTTACGACAAAGGATTGATTGACTACAGAACAAATAATTTTTATTTCTTGATATGTAATCTTCTGTGTTCTATGTGATATCTGAAATGAAAATATATTTAGTATATAGATAACGCTAGTCGAGAGTGAATCACAGTATTTTCGACTGGAATAGTATCTCAACGTACAATAGTTTCCATTCATATCCCATACCAAAAAATTAAAAATATCTAATTAGGTTTGACTTCTGAAACTGATTTCAGGATCGTTTTTTTTTCTTTACTTTGCGTGCATTTCTAAATAAAGATCACTAAAAATGAAATGGTAACTCCCTAACAGCGGGTAACCTGAACTTTCCACCTTTAAACACGTATCCGTTTTTTAACAAAACGATGAATACTTTGGAATAAGATACGACTACGTATAGATTTCAGAATCAAACTGGTATGCTTTTTCTCATTTCTACAACAGAATATGTCACTGAGAGCAGCTCAAATCCTGACTTTACTGTTTTATTTTATTCATCAGGACGTTTAATTGACAACCTTTACTGAGATAATCAATAAACACAGGAGCGACGCTCATCCTTCGAATTAGCTGAGCTATTTTTGAAAGAGAAAAGCTGCATAGATCTAACCGCTTGATATTTATAAACAAAATATCGAAAAAGAGCTGACTTTGTGTTAATGTGAGTGTGCGAAGGAAACTGTAGAGACGTGATGCTATTTTTCTAAGCCGCTATAATTCGAACAGGTTAGTTTTTCACATGTTCGAAATACTATTTACGGTTTTCATGCCTAGCTGAATCTAATAATAGAACTGCAAACGTCCATTTGGTTTTTCTTCATGTATTTCCATTGAAAACTCTATAAGATAATCTAATGTCTATTAGTCAGCGATACAAAACTCTTAAACAATGCTGGTATAAGTCCCATACTTATTTTATAGTTTACTTGATCTGTGTCTTTTTCAATCAATTTATTACTAAATTTTACACTTAGAAGTCGTAAATGATTCTGTTCACACATCAGGACGCAAACACTAATCAGCTCATTAACTTCCATTACCATGTCGAATAGAAGTATGCACGAATCTCTTTCCTGAACGGAAATCCAAGAGGCTATGCAGAAATCAATCGGAGAGAATTGCCGTCAGATTTAAGGCCATTGCTATCGATAACTATTGATTAAATTCAAATGGACGCTCGTACAATCTCAGATTTTTTATGGAAAGACAAGGATCAACATAGGTCATAGACAATGGTTCACATAAAAGCTAACGCCGGATTCTAGATCCTTGACGTCAATTACCTCTTGGTCCACTTTTTCGCTAGTTTAGCGAATACTGAATTTTTGTTGGATAGAAGAGGCATAATTTTTGCAGTCCAAGCTGGTGATTTTAAAGCTGCGTAATCCTTTATTTTAGAAAAGGGAATCAACTTATAAAGTCACAGACTCATTTCTCCGTTTTATGACAAGTTAACGCTCGCCGAGACCGACTCGCTAAGCCGTCGACTGATTCACTTTTAATTCGACTCTTGTCATAAGACCCTTTCAAAAGATGTATCAATGCACTGATCTCGCAGTCGGTCATCGGCGTCCCTTCGGTCCGCCACTCCCGACTGCTCGATATTGTTTATAGCATATACACGTCCTCAGATGGCACTCGCCTTCCTCTCCGACACTTCACACACAATTTAACTACTTCAACTAAATCTATACCAAGAAAGCTTTCAGCTGGAGCTTGTCTTTTGTTTACTAGACGTTATAAGAGGAAATCCACCCTGATTCTCATCTATAGGGTCATACGACAAAAGCATCTCAGATATTCAATGCCTGATTCATGCGTCCTAGACACATACCTAATTTCTCAGCCTTACATCGTGTGATACCTGATTGGTCAGTTTTGTAATCTACGATAGCTACCAATGAGTCTCAGCTATCTCCCCACGTTATTCGTGAAGTTTCTATTAATATTGGTCTTGAATCATGATGCAAGCACACACCATTCAAACGATCTTTTCTCATACGATTCTCCCTTCGCACGAAAGAACATCTAATTAGTCCTCGTACCACTCCTCAATACACTATCGGTATAGTCAAATTAGAGATTTAGTAAATTTCGAGCTAAGGCAGTACGGCATATCTCTCGGATATACAAGCGTTGTTCGGTCAATGGTTGAGTCCATTTCAAACGATTTTTTTTTAAATTAAAGCATTTCGGAAAAGGGAGGAGTGTTTTTAACCTTTGACGTCGCCGGCACAGTTCTTCTCATCCCGTCCTTTACTCCACCATCAACATCCAGCCCCAAGACTCCTCCCAAACGATCCTTTATTGAGGTTTGAGCGTTTTCGCAAAAATGTTTTTTTTTTACCTTTGACCTTTGACTCTGACACAGACAGACAGACAAAGAAACTTTTTTTTTATATGACCCTCCTTTCAGTCGAGGGAACTATAAATTCTTTTCTCTACATTTATACAGTAAACATCAGCTCAAGTTGCTCTTCATCCTTAACATGTGATTCGTCATGCGAAGTTATAAAGACAACTTAAAGAGTATGGCTATTCCCGATGCAAGAGATGTGTACGCCGATAGCACAACGTTTTTATTTATTTATTTCGCTCAGATCGCATCGTCTTTATACAAAACACGCGTTTGGATGTTTGCCCATTGATGGAATCAATGCGGACATTTCGGATTTTATCCGAGAGTTATATATACTGTTAAAATGTATCAGATGGAACACACTGACCAATTTTAGTAGTGTACTCATGTTTTGAGTACACAAAAAACATAGTAAAGATTATGCTAAAGTGTTTTAAAATCTAACGAAGTAAGGCCACGTCGCCTGCCCGCAGACAGAGAATCAGAAAAACAACTTCATTGTCATCATCTGATATTGCTCACCTTAAAGAATATCGATGATCAATTATTGATTGTGAAGCAAACTTGTGTGTGACACAAGGAGTTCCTTATGTCATGATTCCCCTACTCATTTCGCAAAATACTGTTACGGAAAAAATACACAATTACAAACCAGTAAAATTGTTTTCCTAACGAATGCCGAAATATGTTTCTTTGACCTCTGAACTTTAATCCTGAGATGTTTCTATCATCTATGGTCACGTGTCCAAGGGTATTTCTTTTCATCTTTATGTGATTTAAAAAAATGCTCTCTTGACCTTTAGCCCTTGACTCCGATCCCTATACTACCCTCGCTCCTTTCCAACATCCCTCCCGAACCGTGTTTTCTGAAGTTTTAACAATATCAATATATCTTGACCTTTGACCTGAGACAGACATACACAGACGAACGTTAGTCTTTTGACTACTTTTTTACGACATTACCCTCTTTGCAGTTGACGCAATAGAATCAATATGTTCACGAGTTTTTCTTTGTTGACGATTAACAATAATTTTAGATATTAGGTTGTTAACAAAGTTTTTGCTTTGTTTTATATTTTATTTTTATTTGTTAACATCAACAATACAACTAGCTTTCAGTTATATATGCGTCACTACTATCTATGACTTGTCGCCAACGTTCTGGCAGAGTTAGGATCCCGCGTTCGTAGAAGGCCTTAGACTTTTGACAAAAGAAGTTGGCGATATCCATTTTCACGTTGTTGTCGTCGTCGTCGAACCCTTTCTCACGCAGATGATGAAAAAGAGAACGAAACAAATGGTAGTCCGTTGGTGCCAAGTCAGGAGAATAAGATGGATGAGGAACNTGACTCTCATCAATAGTCTGGATTCCGCACATCATTCAAACCATGATTGGGGTGGAGTACCCGATACTGGCGCATCTCCCATTATCAGTATTAAGCCTGATCGTTGTATGGAACCAGAGTATCGTCCAAGACCAGCAGATATTTGGAAAAATCCTAAAGAAAACCCGGTCTTTCGCGTGCCTGGTATATATCTAGGATGTTATACACTCATGGGTCTTCTTGCATCTAGTCTCGAATGTTTCTATAATCAGTCTTGTGTTGACAAACTTCAATCTTATATTATACCGCCAACAACATTTCGTCCACGAGCAATGAATGCATCCCTAAAAAGTAGATTTTCAAGTGATTCACGTATGAGTAGCATTATTGAAGCATTAATGATTGAAGAGTGGAATTGGACACCTAAATATGAATATTATTATAATGAATGTCAACCAATTGAATGCAAATATAGTTATGAAACAGAAGGTGGTATTGTTTATATCGTAACAGCAACAATTGGCGTCATCGGTGGTTTATTTACTGCTTTGAAAATTGCTGTGCCATTCTGTGTGAACGTTATCATACGAAAACGTCGATTAGAAACAGAAAGATCGGGTTTGTATACTTTTATTTTCTCTTCTCTACATCCATCTACATATACTATGATAAATACGTATGGTTCTCAAGAAAAAGGAAAGAATTCACCTTTCAAGAGCTTCTTAAATTATCTTCAAAACTATATTTTTCTTCTTTGATGCTTTTTAGGGTTCAGTATATGTGAACAAGTTTTCGTTCTATTTCGAAAAATCAAGATTTTTCTTACAACATTCAATTTCTTTCCATCAATTCCACCATCAACAGATGAACATGAGCTTCGAAATCAACGGATTTCAACTCGACTATTTCTTGTTTTATTATCCGCATCATTGATTATTCTTCTCACATACAATTCATTAATCACAGTGACCATCACGAAAACAATTCGAACACCTTCATTGAAGAAATATGAAGAATTGTATGAAACATATTCGAAAGCATTGACATGTCCATGCGAAAAAATGTCAATTGACTATATGGATATTGTTCAGATTAATTTCACATTGCATCAAGTGTGTGACAGTGATTTTATTAGTGAAAAATGGATTAAGCATTTATATCGTCATCGGGATTTTGTCGGTCTAGTAAATGACGATTATCTATGGTCTAGTCCATTTATGTTTCAAGCGTTGGATGGAATATGCCCGTTGATAAATAGGAAAATTCATGAAGGTTTAGAACAATTTTATCTTAATCAATATATTAGTACAATAGTTATATCATCAGATTTGTTTGAGTCACAAATTGAAACATTTGTTACGCAACTTAGATCAATAACAACAAACACTTTTGTCCTTTTCATTGATCAGATCCGAGAGATGACTCTCATCAATAGTCTGGATTCCGCACATCATTCAAACCATCTTTTGGTTGGAGTACCCGATACTGGCGCACCTCCCATTATGAATATTAAGCCTAATCGTTGTATTGAACCAGAGTATCTTCCAGCACCAGCAGAAATTTGGAAAAATCCTAAAGAAAACCCGGTCTTTCGCGTGCCTGGTATATATATAGGATGTTATACACTCATGGGTCTTCTTGCATCTAGTCTCGAATGTTTCTATAAGCAGTCTTGTGTTGACAAACTTCAATCTTATATTATACCGCCCATGACATTTCGTCCACGACCATTGGATGCATCATTAAAAAGTAGATTTGTAATTAACTCAACAATGCAACAAATTATTAACCAATTAATGATTGAAGAGTGGAATTGGACACATAAATATGAAAATTATTATAATGAATGTCGACCAATTGAATGCAAATATAGTTATGAAACAGAAAGTGGTATTGTTTATATCGTAACAGCAACAATTGGTTTAATCGGTGGTTTACTTACTGCTTTGAAAATTGTTGTGCCATTCT